CCACGGGCAGTCATTGTAGAAGTCAGTGTTTTATACTCCCAACCGGCTCTGGCACCGTTAGCTGACCTCGTAGTATGAAAGTCTACTTGGTAGGTATACGTCAATCCATGATTCTACCCCTGATACTACTTAACGTGAGGTACTAAAAGGCATAGTTGAAGATAATTCTGGGGTATCCAGTTTCAGACGAATAATGGAAGTGTTAGTCCAAATTGGTGCAAAAACGGTGAAGTAAACGCGAAAATCGGAGCACTCAGACAAAAATAAGGCTCTGAAAAAGTAACAAAATTAGGGGTTGAAAGAATAGGATGGCAAAAGCTGTATGGAAGGAGCATTTGGATGAGTTGTCCAAATGTGTGTGCCATTTGCCTATAAATGGCTACAGTAAGCCTTCTGCATGCGACATGTGCGTCTCTGTGCGAAGAGTGCAGTGAGAGCTCGTCCACCTTAGGGTGTGTATGTCGGTTAAACTAGTCTTGGGGCCCTTGTTGCGTCCTATCTAGACCGTCTTTCGACACGCAGCGTATCCTGTGCTATCCTCGGGGAACACAGATTCAGCTAGGTGAGGATCAGAGACCATGTTTGTCGTACCTGTGCCTCCAAGATAGAGGGAGGTGGTGCGGAACACATTATTCGCTTGTTCGTGAGCATGAAATTGTAGGATGTTTTTATTTATTTTTTTTGAGAAGATCTCGGCTATTTTCCACACACATAGGAATTATTATTTCTCCGGATTATCCAGCGTATCACGTCCAGCTCAGTGTCGAAAATTTCCTTGTTTGCCCATCGTGTTCAGTCCTTATCATCATGTGTGAGCAACTCAAATAAATCACTTCCTGACACCGATGAGTACGCAAACCCGTTCAATTTCCTGGTACTCATTCGGGTAAGGCTTGCAAGATACACAATGGTTCAGAAACCATTTAAACAAGTTCACAATCGAGTGATTCTACTGCAACTAAACTTGTCGTGCTTGTAAAATCGTCCCGAACCTTCAGAATTTTACACTCCGACGGGATCGAAACGTCAAAAAAAAGCGCTAGCGAAGTCATCGTATCTTCAGTTTCTTCTAGTTTGTTTTCCAATCGTAACCAAACTGAATGGGTGGAAGGGTGCAAAACAACGACAAACATTAAGCTCGATCACTGTACGCCTGTGACCTGAACATTCCAGCTCGTAAGTTAGCTGGTAGATGAAGAAGTCCCGCTGACAACGTTGCACTGTCGCCGTTACAAGTCCGTAGCAATCGCTATCTACAGCAACTTTTACCTGACCCCTGTGACTATTCTTAGGAATGGACTTGTCATGCATACACATACGTTCACAAAACATGCATCAGTACCATAGCTGCGTAGAGTTGATATCGGGACGGATTCATATCTTCCGTTGTCACAGCTCAGTGACCTCGCTCGCCGTCGAAAACTTCTCGAACTGGGTGATCGTTCAGTTTTAATAAAAGGACCTTTCCAAATTCAGGTTCACCGGTGCACCTAAAGTTCCGCTCTCTAGAACTCTTCCACTAGGACTCTTTGTTGAAACCTCTTTACATCTCTGGAAATAGTGGAAGTTATCGTCTTCTTGCAATGAACATCAGTGAAAGTATCATCTTTGATCCGCCGTCCGTGAGGGTCTCTCCCACACATCAGTTTTTCGCTCTTCCCCATTCATACTTAGCATGTCCTGTAGAGGGAAATGACGGTTTNAGTGTTAAAGTACTGACCACAGATACCAGCGCCTTTCGGCCAGACAGTAATCTTATCTGTGGTGGCCATGAGCCAACAGACCACAAATAAACAACGAAACTACAGTCATCGCATGCATGTTACGAAACGGTGCCTGATACAAAACTTGTCAACAAGGTAGGGCCTAGAATATTACCCTCCTCTGCCTCTTCCTTATGCAGGGTTCCCTTCCGAATTCCGGATTCAGAGTAGAAGTCGAATGTGCGACGAATTCTGGAACATAGGTCACAGAACAGGCTGTTTTACCATAAACGGTCCTCATTTCCAGTCCAAGCAAAACAATGTTTTAGCATCAGCAGAAAGTGTTACGATCATTTTTGCCCTCTTCTTACGACTCCTCTTTTCACAGTGAAATTAATAAAAGTCTTTCAACCCTCGTGGGGGCGGTGGTGTAGTGGCAAGTGGCGTACTATTCACACACGGGTTCGAATTCCGGATCATTATCCGCCTAGGTCAACCAGGCCTTTTATCCCTCCGGAGTCGTTCTATTGAAACCAGACTCGTATGGGAGGATAAAAACACTGATTCGTATATAGAGTGACCACCGCAAGTCATTGTATAGGCCACATAGTTATTCAATACGTCACTACGATTCTGAATGGAAGTCGAATGCGTGGGCGCATCCCTCAGACGGGATTGATTGATGTCCCAGGAATTAATTCTTTGTTCTTTCAACTTGGAATGACTAACTCTCCTGCTCGAGAATTCTGAGCAAACTCCAGTGGAAGACGCATCGGTTTATAAAATGAAAGTAGAGAATGATTTTATTCGAAAACTACAAATTATTAGTGATATATACATATTAATTAAAGCTCAGTCGAATAAGCAGTGAAATGAGGCTACCGTATGCTTTCTTATTAGGAATGCACAATTCACTAAGAGTGTACTAAATGGAATAGAAACATAAGCGAGACTACAACGTAGTAATTCTTTGGGATTAAGGTATGCTTGGCATTCTGGGCATAAAAGCAATACTGAGTTTAAAGCGATTAGAAACCGATGCCACCACGAGAATGTTTACAATCAAAAAATGGCAAAAATACCAATAAAACCCTTTTAAGTACGGTCAAAATTTACAAATGTACACGGTTCTCGTCACCGGGCATAAAGACGGCTTTCCTCGTACAGCAGGGCATACAGATGATCAGTTTTTCCTGATACTTGCTTTACGGCTCCGTTTTCCTTTAGTTGACTCATCTTCGCTACTGCTGTCAGCAAATTGTTTTGACTTGACCGATTCCATTTCATCCACACTAGCATGCCTTTTGAGGCTCGAGAAGCGTCTGTTCATCAAGGATGTCTGAAAGCATTCAATCACATAGAAGGGAGACATGCTAAGTAGAATAAACAGAGTAAACGCGGCCGTTGGCCGATTGTTTCATTGGGATACTAATGGGTTATAGGGGTTCTTTTTTGAACTGTATTTGCGATCATTGGTTAAATATGCAGCGATACAACAGGGATGAAGCACAGGGAAGATAGACCTGAAGTAGTCGGAGAAAAAAAAAAACGAAAAACTAGGCAAGAAAAACGGTCATACACTAAATACATGGAGCTTGTGTTCTCACAAAAAAGTGAAATGATGCTATTCAAAAACGTTCAAATTTCCATGTATTTTGCGTGCTTACTTTATCGTGCACGTGCACGTGCGGAATCCCACCCTCACCCACGGGTCGTGGAAACTTTGCCGCGATGTTGCCCGGCTTAATCAAATACAAAGCCTACGCTACCAAGGCTGATCTAGTATGCCAGAGCCTGACAGAAATGGTTCCTCGTCTGCCGAAGGCTGTCATCTGAAGTGAGTCCTTTGCCCGAGTATGAGAGAACCCAAAATACCATCCTACTTACTGTAAAGCGCTTCGTCTGTCGTTCTGTCTGTTGTCCTGTCTGTCATTCTGTCTGTATGTCTATTACGAAATTCCTTAGCTCCTTTAGATCTGCCTAGAGAGACCGGGTCAAGCGTGGGATGGATGGGCCATGTCCTAAGAAGTATAAAGCACATCAGCTTGGCGGAGCCCCGCCCACAGTGAGCGTGACGTGCATCGAAATGAGCTGTACTGAGGACCATGATTTCAGATTCAGAAACAAGACGGCTTCAAAACTAGAGTTTAAAGGTGGATAGAGGTGTGCATTGGTAAGTTAGATCGAACTGTAGACCCACCCTCGATGGACGGGACGTTCTCCGAAGAGGCAATGCTTTCTGAAAACATTTTGGAAAATCATAACTCCTGTCCCCGTGGACCTATAAAGTTCAAAATTGGAAGGAATATAGGCGGCGGGATGGGAACACTTATAATGGGTGACAGGACCAGACTCCGCCCACGGGGGGCGGAGTTTGAGCAGAAATTCATAGATCCTGTCCCCGTGGACCTAGAAAGTTTAAACTTGGTAGCAGTACAGGTGACAGGATGGAAACACTTATGGTGGGTGGCAGGACTAGACTCCGCCCACAAAGGGCGGGATTTGAGCGGAAACTCATAAATCCGATAAAGGTCTATAGGGAAAATAAGCTCATGTGGCTCCGTCCCTCATGGCTAGACCCTCTAGCGCACGCGATAGCGTGCGTGGCCGCCTGGTAGAGATAAATATGAGGGATAGAAATGAGAAGCCGCTTACGACAGGCTCGCAAACTCCAAAACTACAAGAGAGTATCAACGCCCCCAGACAACATTCCATACGTATTCTTGAAGAGAGCAGCTCTCGGGTTCACGTCCCTTCTCGCTGTTTGATTCAACAAATGTTTACACCAAGGGAAGGTCCTAAAATTGCGGAAAGTTGCCAAGTTGGAAGAGAGTCAGTTAGACCGTGGGAGGTGTGAAACAGTTTGCGAGACTTCGTGCGAGACTTCAGCTTACATTTCATAGAAATGGAAAACAAGTTCTCGCCCACGGGATGTAAATCCTCATGTTACGCCTGCCAGACCATTGCTTTCACTGTAACTCCATCGCTTCATATTTGGCCAAGCGACTCGACCTCGATACATGCTTGACCCATTTACAGCATAGAAAAAATGATCCCGTAACTCCGTTCTCAGAATTATTTCACAGATTTGAAATGTGGATTTGAAATCAGCGTCGAAAAACACGTATGTGAGTATACGTCTCATCTCGAATGGCCATTCCGACCCATTATTTTCCCTTCTGAGGTTCCTAACCTCTCCAGTAATCGAATATGGGGCAAAGTGCTTCAGATACATAAATCAAAATTCAGGTGAATCAAAACTGGACTAGCGCAATAACAAATGACTGTCAGTCAAGGAAGACCAGGAAAACCTGGCCTGACGACCAAATTTCTGCATTGAAGCGCTGAACGAATTTCGAAATGAAACGAACGAAATTTTGTGCATCAGTGTAAAAAAGAGAGTCCACTGGAGTATAGTGATTTGCGATGTATGGGATGGGTCGTTTCTTGCGCTAATTCCAGGAAGTTTAAGCGACTAGCTGGGACATGCGAAAATCGTGGGGTATCAGCTGTAGCAGAAGATCGCTTAGATAGGCAAATTATGGAATACTGCAAACCTTCCTGTCTCCCATAACAGACTGCTTTCTAGAGCTGGGCACATCGGGACTGACATGCCCTTCTTCCTCACCGGAACGCAACAACGGAAGTACACGGTTCATTTTCTTCAAAGCCCTTAAAAGCAAATTACATCAGCAACACTTTTCTTGAAATAAGCTCAAAACTTTCTCACTTCCTCTGTTCCTCAATCTCGTAATGACTTCTCCAGAGTGCTCCAATGAGTTCAGTAATGAAGACAACATCAGCATGCTGAGCTATTAATCGGAGAAGAAACACTCCATCGAGGCCCAGATACTTGTCAATAAAGCAAACGACGTGTTCCCGATTATCTAGAAAGTACTAATACAGTAACTATGACCTAGAAGGTGTTTCAAATTGAATTCAACCGATGCGAGCTTCACTATATGTGGCCCAGTGGGTGCATTGACATCTTTCAGAGCTCAGCGGCAAACGCCTTTGACGCAGTTGAGTCGAGTGCCAAACGCCGACGCTCGACGCTATTGCCGCAACTGATGACGCTCTTGCGTTAACCGATCTTGCTCTTGTATCAACTAATGGCATTTGTTTCTTATGATGGCGTTGATCGCTGATCGATACCACATAGGCTGACCGTGAAAATTTTTAAATTATACCTTTTGGCGTTGTACATCCCGTTTTGACTCCGTTTTTTTTTCAAAATGTTGAGTTGTCTATTGTCTTGTCTTTTTTTTCTGGTCTGGATACTGTGACAAAAGTATATCGTCAAGAAAGACTGTGAAACAACATGCTTCGATGCAAACAACCCCAGTAGCGGCGCAGAG